AGGATTTACTTAATTATGATATTAATTTATTATAATGATATTAATTTATACCGAAAAAAATTGTATACTTAAAAAATGGTTATTATTTCCTCTTAACAAATATAAGAATATTTTCTCTTAAATTAATAATATATTCTTGATTTGGGAAGGCGATCATTGCTACACTCGCGCTTCACATGGTTTTTGATAATGTCCCCCTTCAAATCATGCAACCTTTGTCTGAAACATTTTTCTTTAAAATGCATTGTTCAAAAGATATTTAAAGTTATTATTTAAAATTGAACATTCTGTACGTTCTTATATTAAGAATATGATAATTTCCCTCTTAAATTAAGAGGATTGTTTTGGCGCTTATTTTTAGAGGAAAACATACTGTACGTAAGTGGGATATTTTTGAGTTAAGAATATAATTTTTTCGGTGTATAATTTCATGACTTAATTATTGCATTAAGAGGATATATATTAAATGATGATATATATTAAATTTTCTTATCTACGACCATTAAAAAATCATAAATTTTAAAGATAATTAAATAGTATAACTTATTCTTATTTTCCCTTTTATATTTAAGTAATTCATATATATTTATTTTTATTATTATGTTGTAAAAGTCCACAATCAGCATCACTAAGTTTTTTTAAACTATAATTGCTATAGAATATATGTATAGATTTTTCAAAAGTTAATTTGTCATGCTTTTGGTTTGATACATACAATTATCATTATATTATTAAATTAAAAAACTTGATTGTACAGATTTGCGTATTCTGTAAATGCAAAATTCTCGCAAATAATCGGATTACAGTTTATAATAAGCACATTGATAATATGTTCTAATTTATATCAACTGAGCCAATCATCATTGAACGCAGACAGTGTTGGGTTAATTGGATTCACGTGCTGCATGTTAACAGAAATATTTCTTTATTGTTGGTTTGGACACAAAATAAAATTAAAGGTATATCTGATTAACTAATTAATAAAGAGAACTAATTAAGAACATTTTTTTGTATAAAAAATATTTTGTATAAGAAATTGAATTAATAATCTCATCATATATGTCACTTATGTTATCCGTAAAAATTATATAAAATTGCGTATTATTAAATGAAAACATTTTCAACAGTAACATATGTCTATAAGTATTTAGAAACAATATTTTATTTATATAATCAAAACGCTAAACATTAAACAAATATTATTTTGTATATTAATTTATAGAGCGTTCAAGTGGCAGATAGCATTTTTCAAATAAAGTGGCCATTGCTGAATAATAACATCAAAACTAATCTCCTAATAATTATGAAACGCGCTACAATTCCTATCGAATTTACTACTGCGCATATCATTAGTTTGAATTTGGACTCTTTTGTGGCGGTGAGTATATTAATTTTATATAGTCTCTATCGTTGACTATGAATGAAGCATTGCTAAGATTTTTATTACATTTATTACTATTTTAGCTGCTCAAAACATCATACTCCGCTTACAGTTTGTTAGTACAAGTACAGGAAAAGTAATATGTACAAATGTAACGTGTTCTGGTAATTGCAATATAGTTGCAATATATATGTGTATACACATATATATATATATATATATATATATATATATATATATATATATTTGTAATAAAAACGCA